CCCCAAAACCCCAAAACCCCAAAACCCCAATTAAGTCCATCCTTGTATAATATTTCCTCTAAAAAGATGGACAAAATCGAGATCTCCCAGTTACTCAATTCCGACCGTAAACTCCGTGAATTCCTCGGTAAAACCCCCCATTCACCACTTTAGACCTAAACAAGGAGAAATGTCCTGCCTACGAGAACCTGGGTGACTCAAGAGAGTGCGTGTTCAGGCACATGAACTGGTTCTACACCAAGAGGTGAGTTCAAGTGGATAAGTGGGATTTTAGGGGGAGGAAGAAGGAGAAAATGAGAATTTCAGAAGAGATGAAGAGGTCACTGGGCAGTGAGGAGTATAAAGGTAGGGAAAGAAGTGAGGGTTTAGATGAAATTACTGAGAAATCTGAAGACTCAGCAAAATCTAAAGACCGCAGTAAGATTTTAAGTTCATCATAGAATCTGCTGAGCTCACTGAAGATGAGATTTTAGAGCTGTTTAAGAACTGCATCGAGATGCCCCAGCATATACCAATAATAGGTTATCTTCCTCATGAATATGGGCATGACAAGAGTGAGATCCCGAGCTATATGATGAAATACATTGATGATGGTAACGTTGAACTGCTAAATCTCTAGAAATCAATATCCAACCAAGGATGCTTTTGAATTTACAAGCTCTGAATCCAAAGTTGAAGATGGATGTTGGTCTGTTTGATCATCACCTCTTTTTCTCGCTTTATCCAAAGCAGATCAATGATAACTTCATTGATATGCTTGAGAAATATGCTAGAGATCTGAAGCAGAATCTCTATTCAGAAGATTTTGCAGGGTTCGAAATCGTGATGAACTTCTGTCAGTTTGTCACTAATCTGTTCATATTCAAATCTTATGTGGGCAAGGCCCAAGTGATGTTGAATCTGGCAGACATTTGCCTAGAGTTTTGCTACCTGCCAAACCCTTGAGGAGAAATGGCCAACCGTATGTGTCAAGTTATCGAAAATGAAGCTTATTTCCCAACAATTTCTAAGATCAAGAGACTGATTGAAGATTTCCCTAAGATAATTGAATTTGAAAGACGAGGAGAAAGAAAGTCTATCGCTCATTTTCAGAACGTCTTGGTCTACGAGACCAAGTCTGATATCAGACGGTTCTCTGAAGACCCAAGAAGTGGGAATAAGCAGACAGTCAATTTGATCAAACTCTTAGGGAGCTGTAAGACTAAAGAGCTTGTAGCCTCTGACCTGGGCCAGTACAGATATACTTTTATCTACAAACTGCTTAAGAGCAACAAGAAGCAGAAGAGCATGGTGAATTTCATGACTTTCTTGAAGAACATCCCTAGTTCCTACATTTGGGAGCTCTTCCTCTCGGTACTGGAAATTGTGACAAAAGTTGAGCAATTTGAAGAAGAAGGTAACATTTCAGGCAATATTGCAGCCCAGCTTGAGAAACTAGCTGAGGAGAGCATCAAAAATATGGTTGTAGCGAAAAAGAACCTTGTTGAGAATAAGCCTAATTATAAATACCCAGAATTCAAGATTAACTTTGCCCATGATTTTGTGAAGGAGACTTCAGAGGGAATTTTTACTTTTAATAAAGATTCTGGTGCTTCAGACAATGACTTTGATACTAGTACGATCAAGAGGTAAGTTTGGTGTTGTAATCTCTGTCTAGCTCACATGAACAATCTACTAAATATACAACAGGGACCACTAAGACTGATGCTCAAAGCAAGGAGCCTCAAACATTTGAGGCTTATACTTGAGATGAGTTGTTTTACAAAATCTTGAAGAAACTGTGTGAAAATTCATTGATTTATAAACCAAATCTGAACGAAGAAGAGCGCCCATTCTTGGGTCTTGATGTGTTTGATATGTCAAAATATAAGTAAGTGGTAGTGCTCATTATTAGGTCGTCTCCAATCAGAGTACTCCTACCTGGCTCTGACGTAGAAATCAACTCGTTTATTCATAATCTGACTAAGATCCCTAATGTGAACAAACTTGACCTGAGAGTTTATCTAAGTAAGCATTTTTGGTTGATAAATAGTTCCATCGAATAACAAGGTCAATACTCTTGGTGATTTCTTAGCAGCTCATGACAATCTGTATGAGTCATTGATCTACCGTCCCTTCTTGGACAATCCATACTACAAGATATTACCGAATGAGATTTTTGAAGGTGAAGGGTTTCAAGAATTCATACAGAATAACATGGCAGAGCCTGGTAGCGGTGACTTTTTCATGAAAGAAAACCAGAACAGTATGCTTGACGCATTAGACCATAACCTCCAGACTTATTTCAGAGAAGCAGTTGAGACTTATGAGGTGAAGGTCTATGAACTCTCTCTGATCTGTGAGAACCAAGTCAACACATTCTATTTTTGCTGTAGAGTTGAACTTGGCTGTGAGAGCGCTTATTACGATGCTGCCTGGAACTCGAAGAATATGAGTGCCTTCGATGAAGAGATCCTTCTCTACTCACCTGTAGTTGATATATCTAAGAAGGACAGAGTTCTCCAGATACAAGAAGAGCTCATGAATTCATATTATGATGGCTCTGCGCCTACTTTTCAAGCAACTGTGAAAGTGAATAAGATGGACCCATTACAGAAGGAGTATAACTCTAGTGATGAGACAGCTTATAATAGAAATATTACTATGTGATATCTGAAGGTGATTAATGTACCAACAATCTCTGACATCAACTATAATGACTGTGAGCCTAACAAGAATAGTATAATCATTGACTATGTCGATGATGTCTCATACGAGATTGAGCAACAGGAACTGGAGGCCGAGAAAGGTAGGATTAAGATGACCAAGATTCCTCAGCTTTATGAAGCAATCAAATCTATTCATGTATATCTACATGTTGGAGAAATCAGTATTTTGTTTGGTAGGTCATGAATTTTGAAACCTTTAGGCTCACAGTTTATCAGACATAGTGTCAAGAAGCAGCAAAGTGTGAGCACAGAGGAAAATAAAATTGAAGAAGAAAACGATTTAAGAGATAAAAAGCTTAATCCTTTAGCTGAAGATTTAGAATTCAACCCAGATCTCAAAGAAAACTACCCTCCTCCATACATAATAGTAGATGGTAGGATCATAGAAGTGCCACCAAAGCTTAAAGAAATCAGAATTAAGAGGTGTAAAAAGTGGACTTTGCCAATTATGACCTTTATGCCTATCAACAACAGCCATATTCCAAATAGTAGGTTATAATTACCTCTTTCAATACTGTCCGCCCCTCTTGGGGTTTTGGGGTTTTGGGGTTTTGGGGTTTTGGGGTTTTGGGG